GATAATATATATAATATATATTATATGTATTTAATAATAGATATTATACTAAAATGTTTTTATTAAAGAATTTAATCAACTGTTTAATTCATAAATGGTTTTCTAAAAAAATAGCCTATTAAACTGTTTTTCTAAAAATAAACTATTTAATAACTATTAATTCATAAACTGTTTTTTCATTAAAAAAATAGAGTTTAATAAGTTTAAAACAGTTTTTAATTAATTTATACAAAAAATTAAGTTCACTATGTTTATCAAAATCTGATTTCAATACAAAAAAAACTAAAATTTTGATGTGTCAAACTACTCAGTATTTTTTAACGAATTGAAATGATTTTTATAACTTCCTTATAAAAGTTATAAAAAATTGATTTTTATGTCCCCTCATGTAAACTTGCCAAAAAGTTTAATATGTTACCTTAAACAGCAGTCAATACAAAAATGTATTGTTTCAAAGTTATAAAAAATTTAATTAAAAAAATTACGACCCCTCATATTAAACTTATACACAGTTTAATTAATATGTTATACACATTTTTTATTTAATAAAACTTCTAAAAAAAATTGATCTTCTATTATAATCACACTAACATTTAAAAATATAAATTAATAAATTTTAGATGAGTAATGAACACTCAACCTCTCGTGCCCGCCCGAACTACGCCCCCTTAACCGAAGAAGAGCGCAACAACGAAAATGTTGTTTGGGTGACACCCGAAATGGTTGCAGAGTAAGTAACTATGAACTTTTTCTAATGTCAAATAATTTTTTGTTATGTAAAAAAATGTAATCAAAACTTCTATAAATATATATTATTAATTTTTTAAAGCGAAAAGGAAGTGTTGGAGCAAATCAAAGGCATAATTGGAGGACATTTTCTTGGGAATTGGGCAACCTACACTGAAGTTGATCCCAAAGTCCGTGAACTTTGGTGGAACATGTTCAAGGTAAAACTAAATTAATGTTCTCTGCGTAATTGCGGTAACTTAAAATTTGACAAATGATAAATTAATTTAATTTTTTTTGAATAAAGGGCAAATTCCGATAGACCGAAGCACAAGGCCCTGATATTCTTAGAGCGTATAATTCAAGGATTTCAGATTGGCTTCGTCCCACTTTTAGGCGTGTTCGGATGAAGTGTGGGCCAACCTTATGCGCCACTGGTCTTCGGATCCGAAGTTTGCGCAAAGAAGTGCAACCGGTAAGAAAAACCCGATGTCCGAGAAGGCCTTGGAGACACAATGGCACGGGGGCCGCAAATCTCAGAGTAAACATAAAGAAAGTCTAGCAAGTCTTATTCAAAAAAACCTTCCTATATTACAACCCCATTTGTTTACAATTAATTATGGATTTTAAGCCTTTTTTGAACCATGTAGGCGGGGCTTGAAAAAAGAAGGTCTCGATCCTGAAGGTGATCAAGCACTATTAGACGAAGGCCTTTCGGAAGCCGATCTGCCACCCCGCATCGCTGATATTGAAGTAAATAACACCACTTCAATTATTTAATAACATTCCATATAAAGATGATACTAATTTCAATAAATTTTGTACATGTAGACGAAGTTTAACACAACCGTTGAGAAGAAGCGTGTTGCGTGAGGCTTGACTGAATCAGATGAGCTCGATTCTGATGAGGAAAATGAGGCGATCCTTGAGGCAGCTGGGGTGTACAAAGGTCGGGTTCCTTGCATGGGGGCAGAGGGGAAACAGATTTTGTACAACCGTGACGGAGCTTCATCTTCTCGATCAAGGCGGGGAGAGGATCCACGTATTGCCCCACTGCAGCGAGAATTGGAGGACCAACGGAAAAAGGAGGAAGAAACACGGGCCCGGCTTGAAGCGATGGAACAACAAATGAATATCTTCAACGCCGGATTTTAGTCTCAGCCTCAGCCTCAGCCTCAGCCGTATATATTGCATCATGAGATGACTCCTCAAGTTCTGCAGATGGGTGGTTATTTCCATTCCAACTCCGGTTTGTCTTCATTCGGAGCTTTTCAGGATCTGTCTTTTTACCAGTTTCTGAAAACCTAGAGGCAGCCAAGGCGGAGGCAACCGCGGAGGCCAAAGCGGAGGCCAAGGCGGAGGCAGCCGCGGAGGCCAAGGCGGAGGCAGCCGCGGAGGCAACCGAGGAGGCAACCGACTCGAAGAACACGAAGAGACCGAAGACGATTATATAAATTATGATGAATCTGGAAATTATCATAATGGACGAAGGAGTATGTAATAATACATTTTTAATTTAAATTGAACATTGGTTATATCATAATTCTAGTCTGTTTATTAATTTTATTAAATGCGTATTCTAGTCTCTTTGTTACTTCTATTTAATTGTTATAATTCTACAAACTTTTTTTTTTTAAATAATTGTTTTAAAGATAATTTAAAATATAATTTAAAAGAAATTAATTTTTTTTTATAAATAAAAAACTTTAGTCACGGATTTGATCCGTGACAAATGTTTTGTCCGGATCTTTCAAATATTATTTTGAAATTGTTTTAAAAATTAAAAAAAATTAATAGGAAAATTTAGTCACGGATAACGTCAGTGACAAATCGAAAAATTTGAAAATTCGAATTGAAAATTTGAAATCTGAAATTTTGAAGTTTTCAAAATTTGAAAGTTTAGTCACGGACACATCCGTGACTAATATGGCGGATTTGACGAATTTTAAATAAACGTTAGTCACGGACAGGTCCATGACAAATTTGACGAATTTAAAAAAATTAAATAAAATTTAGTCACTGATTTGTCCGTGACAAACGTACTGGAATAGCAACTCCGGTCATGAATTAGTCATGGACCTTGCCCGTGACTAACTTTAGTCATGGACAAAAGGCCGTGACTAAAGTTAGTCACACCCGTTTAGTCACGGATTCGGTCCGTGACTACATCCGTGACTAAAAAGGTTAGTCACGGTTTTTTAACACTACGGTCCGTGACTACGGCCCTGTTTTTTATACTCTGGATTAAAAAGTCCTACGAAATCATGGAAAGGGAAAGGGCAGGATAGGAAGCGTTATAACTTGCAATTACTCCTATTATATTGTGTGAATTTATATTTTAGGTTCATATTCTTGCAATTTACTACTCCCTCCGTTCTGTTTTATTAGTCCTCTTAGGGTTTGGCACGAGTTTTAATAATAAAGTAGTAGGGTAAGTATAGAGTGTGTAGGGTAAATGATAAAGTAGGAAAGATGGTATATTAAAAAGGAGGTAAGGGTCAGATTGGTACTCGAAGTTGCATAAAAAGGGTCAAATAAGTCCTTATATAGGAGGCTCTGTCTAGACGTCGTCATTTGGGGTGGTTCCCGGTGGAATTTTTTGACGAAATTTTTTTAGCATCTTATTCATTACGTCTAGTTCACTCATACCAAATTTCAGCTAAAAATTTAACCGGGAAGGCATTCAAATGAATTCTTGAAGATAACTGCGGAGTTAAAAGCGTAGTTATCTTCAAGAATTCATTTGAATGCCTTCCCGATTGAGGTTTTAGCTGAAATTTGGTATGAGTAAACTAGACTTAATGAATAAGATGCTCAAAAAAATTCATCAAAAAATTCCACCGGGAATCGCCTCAAATGACGACGGCCGGATAGTAAGGACTTATTTGGTTTTTTTATGCAACTTCGAGTACCAATCTGACCCTTACCTCTATTAAAAAGAGTAAAGTGATGATAAAGTAGGAAAGAGAGTGTATTAAGAAGAGTAGAGTGATGGTAAAGTAGGAAAGAGAGTATATTAAGAAGAGTAGAGTGATGGTAAAGTAGGAAAGAGAAAGTAGTTTGTAAAAAGTAAGTGGGGTAAAAGTAATAAAAGTGGGTAGGGGTGGAAACAGGCCAGACCAGGCCAGACTTTTGCCTAAACAGGCCGGGCCTGTTTTAGAATTAATAGGCCTGAGCCTGGCCTGTTACCTGTTACAGGCCTGTTTGTCCGGTCTAGGCCTGACCTATTGAAAAGCCTGGCCTGTCATGAAGCCTGTTTAGTGGGTCTGTTAAGAAAAAAATCAAAAGTTCAAAAAAAAAAAAAAAAGTGAAAAGTCCTTTTATCCCGATATAAAATTTGTCCCCCCAAATATATTGACTAAAAAGTCTAATAATACGTTAGATTTGCTTTGAATGTATAATAATACATTAATTATGTAGCTTATAAATTTTTATATACTTCAAATCTTGAAAAACATTGAATTTCAATTACCCTAATACACACTTTATATAATTGAAATAGTATTCTAATGTGTATAATTAAGTGTGTATTTATATAATACACACTTCATAAAAATATTATTATGCTTAATTTGCTATAGTTAATTATACTAATATAATATAAATAATACAAATAAATATAAATATAACTAAATACACACACAGAAATAGGCCGGCATGTTAAGCTAAATAGGCATTAGAGTTGGGCTAAGTTTGGCCTATTTAGGTAAACGGGCTTTTCGAAAAGCCCAAGCCTACTTCAATTATTAAAAGGCCAGGCCTTAAGCAGGCCAAGCCACATGCCCCTGACAGGCCGCCTGGCCTATTTCCAACCCTAAAAGTGGGAGTATTTTCTCAAAAACTTTCCTTAAAGGGAAAGGAGTACAAATAAAAAAACGTCTCAAAAAGGAAAGAAGTACTAATAAAAAAGAATGGAGGAAGTATTAAATTTTTCAATGTAATCTTTATTTTGTAAATAATCCAAATTTATTCATTTGTATGGGTGAAACTGTTGTAGTCAAACGTGGAAGACTGTTAGGCGCTAGCTAGCTAGGTAGCATACTATACATTTAGTGTAATTATTGCACGTACGTTCTTTAGAAGAAGAATTTAGATATGACCATGCTAGCTACTTAGCTAGGAAGATCAAGACTTGTGCTAATGGAAGACTGGATCGAGACTTTGCGAAATTATAAGGAAATGCATGGCTCCCCTATTTATAGCTAGGATTAACTAGGGCACATCCAATATAAATACAACTAACCAAATTAAGATACCAAATCTGAAATCTTAGCCTGCCTGCATTCAATTATATTAGTAATAGTGAATACAGAATGGTTAATCCCAAAAGCATCTCAGTTTTGCTCCTTCATTCTGCGCTTGCCTTTCTCTCAGTTGAAATTGCTAATGCCCAAGGCCTGAATCCACACTTCTACAAATCGACATGCCCGAATGTAACACACATTGTGAGGAAAAAGATGAATGACACCATAACTCGTGATAGAACCCTAGCAGCTCCCTTGTTGAGAATGCATTTTCATGATTGCTTTGTTATGGTATATTTAATTTTTTAGTTTTTTACCCAGTAACGTAACTTTGTTAATCTTTTTGTGTGTGTTTGCATCGTAACTACTGAACAATTTTTTTTTGCACTTCTTTTATGATGACTTTATTTGCAGGGATGTGATGCTTCTGTGCTGCTAGACTCCACAAATGGCAATAAAGCTGAGAAAGAGGCCATCCCTAACCAAAGCCTGAGGGGCTTCGAGGTTATTGATGAGGTGAAAGCAGTGTTAGAGAACCATTGCCCCGGCATTGTTTCTTGTGCTGACATTCTAGCCCTCGTTGCCGAACGAGCGGTTCGCCTGGTAATTGCAATTATTACTAACTCAATTAGTCAATTCTTTAAAATTTTGTCCTTTGTTATTTTTCCAATCAACATTCCTCAACTTTGGCCAATGATTTTGATTACTACGTAGTATAAAGTGATACATTTTATATTTTTATGAAATTATTTTCTACAAAGGATACTTTCGCATTACTTTTATATTATACGTAGTGAATTGTAAATCATTTCCTATGTCATTCTTTAAAGTTTAACTTGATTGATTAAAACATTCAAAAAGGACAATCTTTTAAGATCAGAGACAAAGGGGTAATCCTTTTTTTTTTTACTGTTTTACTAAGCTAACGAGGTTCCTCCTAAGCTAACTAACTAATAACTATTATTCCATATTTCCGTACATCTCAGCTCATGTTAGTTTATACTTGAGAGAATTCCCTAAATAGGAGTAAAAAGTTTTGAAATAATTTAATTTTAAAATAAGACTACCATGTCTTTTATTCCCGCATAAATTCCACTTTTGATCACACGAGTTTTATGTCAATTCCACATTTAGTCCATGTTTTTCACTTTGTCCAGTTTTGGTACATGACTATTGTGTTTTCGTCCATATGTAGTCCTTCCGGCCATGTTTCTCGTTGTTAAAATTGCCGGAGAAAGACCATAAATGGTCAAAAAACATTAGTCAAGTATCAAAAGTGGACAAAGTGGACAAAGTGAAAGACACGGACTATATATGGAATTGACATAAAACTCGTAGGACCAAAAGTGGAATTAATTCTTTATTCCCTGAGTATGAGTAAATTTCTGTCAAGTTTGACATTACTAGACTTTGAGCGCATTTTTTCCAAACTTGACAGAATTACTCCTATTTAGGGAATAAAAACATGAAAGTCCTATTTTGGAATTTCAAAACGTTTTTATTCCTATTTAGGACAATTTCTATATACTTATTATTATACGGTTAAAATATATATATATATATATATATATATACACATATACATACTTATTATTACGTATATAGTACTTGTATACGTAATATAAAGGGTAGTACTGATTTGGGTTGGTAGCAACCCCATTAAAGGAGTGTTTACTAATACTTAATTTAAGCACTTCTCAGCTTTTAACTTAAAAAAAAGTTAAAATAAGTGTTTGCCAAACCTTACTTCTAATTAAAAAAATCACTTTAAAGCCAAAAGTTAGAAGTTGGTATATACTAACTTCTAACTGCTTTTAGGTATTCTTATACTACCTCCGTCCCAATTTGTTTTGCAAAGTTAACATTTTTTTGTCAACCAATAATAAAAGTCAACCCTTCCTATAGATAATTAATTCAATTTTCAATAATTAAAATTTACATATTCAAAAACTACATTAAAATCTCTTCAAAGTTGTAAACTCCAAATTCAAAAGTAATTAAAAATTAACATCATAATTAAGTGAACAAAACGAGACTGTTTGACTAAGAAAAGTCCAATTTGCAACTCCTCAATGAATTTTAGGGATGATTATCATGGCACACATTTTCTGCCAGACCCAAAATGCCCTCCCTGTTTCCATCGCCAACGTTCTCCTACTGCTTTCTCCGACATTTTAGAACACAACCACAAGTTCCATCAAACCGGCGTCTTCGTCGCCAAGCAGGTGGAGGAGAATTATCGGAAGCCCAAAAAATGCCAAGGCGGTGATGATGATGATTATAGCCCTTACGTGTTTGGTTTACTTTTTCGTTCTTATTTTGTTTGAATTCGGTATTTTCTCACTTTTGGAGATGGATCTGAGGAATTGGTTACTCTTGATTACTTCCATATAATCAAAAGCAGGGATAATTTTTTGATTCAAAAACAAAGAAATTACCCACATGTCGCAGATGAAACAAGAAAAAAACCATATCCAAAAGGGCATGCATATCCGTACTTTTATAAAACATTACATAAAAAATCACTTTTTTATCAAACACTTCAACTTTTACCTTTTAATAAAAATCACTTCTATTTTCAAATACTATCTACTTTTACTTTACATCACTTTTCCAGTAATCTCTTGAAAAATCACTTTTAAAAAGCACAAACAATCACAAACACTCCAAGTATGGCCCCATTTAAAAAATACAAGTAGTGCCATGGCTTAAGCGTATGAAAAAAATCTTGTTGTACGCAAAATTAGTACAAAAATTGTACATAACCTACTTAGTTGCATGTGTACACAGGTTAATTCGTTTTAAAAAGGCAGGATTTTATGTCAAAATATATGTGTACACAGGTAGAGTACAATTTGTATACACCAAGAATTGTCCTAAATGTATTCCCCTTCATCCCCATAGAAAATTCAAAAAAATGACATATTTTTTATTAATACTATAAAATTTGGACAATGACTTTAATTATTACTCCCTCCGTTTCTAAAAGAAAGTCACGGTTTGACTTCACGATTATTAAGGAAATAAATTGACTTTACTGTAGAAAACACTGTTTAGACACTGTTTGGCACTGTTTGGACACTGTTTGGCACTGTTTGGCACTGTTTGGCACTGTTTGACACTGTTTGGCACTGTTTGGATGTAGATTTCTTTGCCAAATAAGGAAATAAGGGAAGTGTGACTTTTATTTTGGCACATCCAAAAAAGGAAAGTGTGAGGTTCTTTTAGAAACGGAGGGAGTATATATTTACGTAAAACTTATAACTTTAATTATATTCTTATAAAAATACTTTTAACAAAGAACATTTACATATAATATTCATATTTGAAATAATTTCATATTAAAAAATATCATTGATCAAACATGATCATTGTTGATCTAGAAAAGTCATTATGACCAAGCTTTATAAGACAGGGGGAGTAGTATATACAGAATATAATTGTTAAGTACTCCCTTCATCCCTATAAGATTGTCTCATCTTTCCTTTTCGCTTCGTCCCACTAAGATTGTCTCATACCAAATTTGGTAAAGTTTGTGTGACTCCAAATTATTCTTATTTTATCGCTTCGATATTGATCACAAAAATCGACTTTTCTTAGTAACCACACCACCTCCAGCGGAGGTCGTATATTTTAATTTTGTTTATTTGACACCGCATTATAATCTTCTATTGGTTGCTAGGGTTTTACCCTTTTATTATAATGTGGACCTCAATATGTATTACTCATGTGAGCTGAGCTTTTGCATGATCAACTAATAGACAGGGGGGCCATCATGGCAAGTTTTCTTGGGGCGTAGAGATGGAAAAGTATCACGCGTCACTGAAGCTGTGAAAAACATTCCATCGCCTCTTTCCAATATCACAGTTCTGAAACAAAATTTTGCTGACGTGAAGTTGAATGAAACCGACCTTGCAGCTCTGTCAGGTCGGGGGTGCAGACCCGTTTTTAATGCATTTTTGACATAGGCTAAAGGGTCAAATAGGTACATGAACTAACTTAAAGTGTTCAATTAACCCCTTATAAAGAAGTTTCTGCCCGGACGTCGCCAATTGGGGTGGTTCCCGGTGGAATTTTTTGATGAAATTTTTTGAGCATCTTCTTCATTAAATCTAGTTTACTCATACCAAATTTCAGCTAAAAATGCAACCGGGAAGGCAGTCGAATGATTTGCTGAAATGTACTGCGCTGTTTAATGTTTCATAAAATCATTCGACTGCCTTCCCGGTTGACTTTTTAGCCGAAATTTGGTCTGGGTACACTAGACTTAATGAAGAAGATGCTCAAAAAAATTCATCAAAAAATTCCACCGGGAACCGCCCCAATTGGCGACGTCCGGGCAGAAACTCCCATATAAGGGGCTAATTGAACACTTTAGGTTAGTTCATGTACCTATTTGACCCTTTAGCCTTTGACATATTTAGGATGTTTTTACTTGGACTGTAATTTGCTGGTCTGGTCTGGTCTGGTCTGGTCTGAACTGGTCTGGTCTGGTCTGGTAAGGTCTGGTTTCTTTGTATTTTTATAACTATCCAAGTCTGGTCTGGTCTGGTCTGAACTGGTCTGGACTGGTCTGGTCTGGTCTGGTCTGGTCTGGGGCAAATTACAGTCCAAGTAAAAACATCCTTAAAGTAATTAAATCCAATATCCTATGCACGAGATTCATCACATTGTATCTTATCTTTCTAAATTAATGAAATATGAATGAATGGGTGAACAGGGGCACACACCATTGGGAGGGCTCATTGCTTTACTTTTGCAACACGTTTGTACAATTTCACGGGAGAGAACGACAAAGACCCAAGCTTGGATCGAGAGTACGCGCGTAAGCTGCAGAGCGCATGCCCGCCGCAGGCGAGCAGCGCGGCCAAAGTAGAGATGGATCCCGGGAGTTTCACAAGGTTCGACACCGCATACTACAGCGGTGTCGCGAAAGACAGAGGGGTGCTGGGGTCGGATGCCGCTCTCCTCAAAAGTGAAATCACAAGGAAGTATGTGCGAGGTCACGCCTCCTACTCCTCCAGTTCCACCACAGCCTTCTTCCGAGATTTCGCAAAGTCAATGGTGAAGATGGGCAACATTGGCGTCCTCACTGGCACTCAGGGCGAAATCAGGAAGATATGTTCCCGCATTAATAATTAATAATTAATCAATTCTACTTCATGCACAGAATGCATGAAATAGAACTATATATACACGCGGTATAATACGTACTCCCTCCGTCCCTTTTTATTTAGCAAAACTTTACTTTTCAAATCAATGGATGTTAAACTTTGAACGATTATATATTTATACGTGGTTGTATTGATAATGAAAATCATATGGAAATATTTTTCCTTAAAAATTCAATATAATTGGGTGAGAGTATAGTACAATATATAGGACGTACATGGCAATCGGGACCGAGAAAATGCATAGATAGGACCTGGAAAGCACCCATGCATATCGAAAATTGGGTTATATTCCAATCTTCGATCTCCTTTATCTTCTTTAAGTTTTGACTTCTTTCCCGTGGCCTTTCTTTTTCTCTGCAATATAATCATCTCTTTCTTTCCATGTACGGAATATCCTCCTTTCTTTTAATTTGTACGTGTGTTACACTGGTTTTGTTTGAATTCGATCAGTATGTGTAATACTATGAATTAGGTTTTCGATATGTGTAATATTATGTGCAATTAGAATGTAACGATTTTTTCCCCTGTTTAACAAATCTTCTACTACGCATTAATTATATTTAACATTTATTTGAATTAATGGATGATAAAATCAATATGACAATTATGAATACTTGTAGAAGTACTATATGTAAACAACGATTCGGCCAATTAGAATATGACGATTATAAGTGAATAATGATTAGAAAAAACTTTAAATCAAATAATGATTACAAAGACAATATAATTTTTTTAAACGAAATAGTTTGATTTTCTAAAACTAGTATATACCTAATGTGAGAATAATGGAATGGCTTACCCAATTGGGAGCCCTAGATGTCACATATATAATGAATAGAGTTCTGAGTACATTAGGAAACATAAGAAATATGTAAACCTAATTAATGAATATTAATTACTCTATTACACCCCCTCAAGCTGTGCAGGGGAAACAACGCGCAGATTGTCTCTAAGAAAAATGAAGCGCTGCGGAGATAAAATTTTGGTAAAAATGTCTGCGAGCTGAAATTGTGTGGGAACATAGCGAACAATCAGATCTCCATGTGAAACTCTCTCACGAACAAAGTGATAATCAATGCTGATGTGTTTGCTCCGAGCATGCTGAATAGGATTTGTGGACAAATAAGAGGCCGAAATATTATCACACAATAACCGAACAGGCCGGCAAATAGGTACGCCTAATTCAAACAATATAGACCGAATGTGAAGAGTATCCTGAACTGTGTAAGCAATAGCCCTGTATTCTGCTTCTGTGGAAGAACGGGAGACAGTTGGTTGCTTCTTGGATTTCCATGAAATCAAATTAGGACCCAGAAAAATAGCAAAACCGGAAGTGGACCGACTACTATCAGGACAACCAGCCCAGTCAGCATCAGAATATGCGTGTAAAATAGGAGAAGAAGAGCTCGGCTGTAAGAGCAAACCATGATCTGGAGTTCCCTGAAGATACCTGAAAATACGCTTAACAGCCAAAAATGTGAAGTACGAGGTGCATGCATAAACTGAGAAACCAGGTGAACAGCAAATATAATATCTGGTCTAGTCATGGTCAATTACTGTAAAGCACCTACCATACTTCTGTACTCCGTAGGTTCTGTGAGAAGATCGCCATCAGTGAGAGATAGCTTAGTTCGAGCAGGTAGCGGAGTGCGAACAGGTTTAAGGGTGTGAAGATGAAACCTGGTTAATAGATCAGGCACATATTTTTGTTGAGATAGGAATAAACCTGAGGAGGTGCGAACAGCTTGGACACCTAGGAAAAAGTGTAAATCCCCCAAATCCTTCATGGCAAAACAACGACCAAGACAAGAGATAAATGTGGAAATAAAGGAAGGGGAATTACCAGTGATAATAATGTCATCCACATACAAGAGGAGATAAAGAATATGAGACCCATGGCGATAAATAAATAAAGAATTATCTGACTTGCTACAAACAAAACCATGGGTTAACAAGAAACTACTAAATCGGTAAAACCAAGCACGCGGAGCCAGCTTAAGACCATAGATTGTCTTCCTGAGCCTACAAATATGATTAGGAAATTGTGGATGTACAAACCCAGGAGTGTAACACTGTCCCCAAATATATTTACTTTTAAGTAAGTGATATAATAAAACTTGTGAAATGATTTACAAATTTACGAAGTTGTAAAATTTTATTATTCTTTCGCGTGAATAGTAAATTGCACGTGGGGCCATACCGGGAGTGGGGGCCACCCAACATTCCCGAGACCACATATTTTATTCATCTTGGTAAAGATAAATATTTATATGGTGGTGGATATTTTACTTGGGTCGTGGAAAGGCCCAGTGTTGACCGATTTGGGCAAAAGAGGCCCAAATACCGATACCGACAATTTAACAGATAACAGCCCGGAAATGATTTTCGGAGACTTCTAAATTAATGATTTGGAATATATATTATTTCAAGAGGCCATTACGATTTGGAACACGCAATATATTTTATTTGACCCGATAAAATAAAATATATTTAAAACAGTCCGAAAAATACAACTTTCGGGGCAAATTGTACACTTCGGGACAAAAGGGGATGACCTCCCACATGGGTGGGGGCCACCCCACGAAATTGTCAACCAATGTGGGTTGAATGAGTGCTAAAATGGCTGAGGGATACTTGAAAGGATGGGGGAGACACCATTGACATCCAATGGACCCCTTTTCCACACCTATTTGTCAAATGGAACAAAAACGACATCTCCCTCTTTCCCCCCACTCATTATTTCGGCCAGCCCCCAAGGAAAGGAGAGGAGAGAGCCCTGAAACCATACCTCCCATAGCTGAACTCGAGCCCAAGCTCAAACAAGAGGAAGGAAGTAGTTTAAGGGAGAAAAAGTGAAGAAAAGGTGTGAATAATTAAGGTAATGACCTTATAACCACTTTTCCCTACTCTTTTGATTATCATATGAAATATATATCATGTGAAGGACCCTTGGTATGGTTCCACATGTTATAAGTATGGATTTATGGGTTGAAAGGTGGTTCTACGTCCAAGAACGGACTTAGAAGCCAAAACGACCGGTTCACCGGAAAATAACCTTTTTGAGGTTATTTGTATTAACATGGGTTTTATGATTATAAAACCTTGTTAGGCACTTGTAAAGGGTATTTCAAGTGATTTTACAAAGTTGGAAAAGTCGCCGGAGTTGTCGCCGGAGTTTCACCGGAGTTCAACCAAGAAGGGTAGAACTTCATAACGCTAGTTCAAGGTGAGTGGACGGCTTAATATCTTATAACTTTTGGGTTAATTATGAGATTACCTAAATAAATGTTATATGAGTTCATAATGATGTTTAAAAGATATTTAAACATGTGATTAGCCAATAGGGTTAAATTTGTATGAAAGGAATTAATTGTTGATGCATGGAATATGATATGAAGAATTATATGAAATGTATATTTGTTTGAAGTGTATTAGAAGCACAAATGAATATTATTAACTTAATTATATGGTGATTAAGTTGATACACACAAGGCATGAAATGGCGGTCAACGAAAACGTTGACCGATGGACAAAGGATTTAATTAATACCGGTTGCTATTAATTAATTATAAATCTATATAAATGCATGGTTTTGCATGGATTGTGATACACAAGCCTTATGTATTGAATTAGTTATGAGTAACTAAGTATGATATAGACTCTATCTAGGTTGATAGAAGGTTGATCATAGGAAAATATTTTGGTGGAGGACCCTAGTACTTAAAAGTACTTAACACTCAAAATTTGGTGGAGGACCCTAGGACTTAAAAGTCCTTAACACTCGGATTATAAATTGGTGGAGGACCCTAGGACTTAAAGTCCTTAACACTCGGATTATAAATTGGTGGAGGACCCTAGTACTTAAAAGTACTTAACACTCAAAATTTGGTGGAGGACCCTAGTACTTAAAAGTACTTAACACTCAAAACTTGGTGGAGGACCCTAGGACTTAAAAGTCCTTAACACTCAAAATTTGGTGGAGGACCCTAGTACTTAAAAGTACTTAACACTCAAAACTTGGTGGAGGACCCTAGGACTTATGAGTCCTTAACACTCACAAACCGGTGGAGTACCCAAGGATTATGATCCTCAAAACTCATAGATTATGATATTGAAATAGGGACAAGGAGGAGTCCTATACACTCATAGGTATATGGGTGGGTTGGGGTTTTTAGTCAAGAATATTGACTATTACTATTTTTCCCAAATAAAACGGTGATCTACGGATCGGATATTTTCCAAGTATATATATACTAATAAGTATTTCATAACTTGGGGGAAAGACTATTTATATAAGTATCACCCTATGTTTGGGTCTTATACTTGAAACGCTAGTTATTCTATATTTAGCCTGCTACTCGCTCGGTACTTGTACTGACCCTTTCGGGGGCCCCCACCATTTTCAGGTTGAAGCTAGAGCTTGCTACTTGCACCTTCTCACGGGTGATATCACTTCAGGAAGACGTGGTTCGTGCTTCCTTATTTTCTTTCAAACTACCGAACACTTGCTCATGGATATTTGTTCAACTATAAACTATTTTTGGGGCTTGCATGCCCATGTTGTTGGCCGGTTGTGGCTTATGACTTACCGTTGAATATTTCCGCTATTCATTGGTTTAAATGTGATGTTGTTATGTATGTTTACTACTGAGTATGGATGGATTATATTCTCGGACGCCTTGTGTAATTAAGTGAGGTTGACTCGCGGGTGACGTCACTTGATTATACGGCGGTTGTACACGCGCCTGGATTGCGGTCTGGGGCGTGACAAGGAGGCTGACGCATATAAACTTCTTCAGTTAGATTGCCATGAAGAAATGCATTTTTAACATCTAACTGACGAATAGACCATCGACACGAGACAGCAAGGGATAAAACAATACGAATAGTGGTGGGTTTGACAACAGGACTAAAGGTTTCAGAAAAATCCACACCAGCTTGCTGAGTAAATCCCTGTGCAACTAAACGTGCTTTATAACGCTCAATAGACCCAGCCATCATGACAGCATCTCGGTTGGTTGTAGACGTGGGTTTCACAAATCTTCAGATTGAATCAGACTCGTCTCAAGCTTTGGCCGTGCTCAACGGATCTCAGGTTAGAAGATGGTCAGACCTTACTCAGGAAACTCTACAGATAAGGAATAGATTTGGTCTGAATTTCGGACATGCTATGCGAGAAATGAACTGGGTAGCCCATTTCTTAGCAGTTGACCATACGGGCCCGATAAAATTATATCTTAGTCCAAGCTCTCTTCCTATTCGGTCCAAGCGGGCTCTTTATATGGACAAGTTTGGTATCCCATCTATTAGATTTTAGAGATTTGGATTAGTTGTGTTCTTTTATTTTCTTAATTTTGTGTATCCATGGGTCAGGTCTTGCCCCTCCATGGTGATTTATTTTCTGAGAGGCTTCGGTTTGGTCCTCCTCTTTTTTGTAATCTTCATCTTTTTTAATAAAACTCTGGTAAATGACTCCCGGCATTTACCCCACTGATTTTGGTGGTTGACCTTCCGGGATAAAAAAAAACGCTCAATAGACCCATCAGACTTAAATTTTGTTTTATAAATCCATTTAGACCCGACCACATTTTTACTAGCATTAAACGGAACTAAGTCCCAAGTATGATTGTCAATTAAAGCATTAAACTCTTCTGCCATAACCGCCCTCCATTTAGCATCTTTATTTGCCATAGAAAAACAAGAAGGATCACATGCCGAAATATCTGTTTTGAGAGTAAAAATATGTTTGGGTTTAAAAATTCCCGATTTAGCACGAGTTTGCATAGGATGACAATTCGGGGGAGAAGGTGCAGTGGAAGAACCGGGTGGGGTTGGACTAGTAGCATGCGAACTGGTCGGATGAGTAGAGGAAGATGATGTGGGTGAGGAACCTGATGTGGAGGGAGATGCTGTCGCGGGCAGAACTGGGCTGTCGGCGGCTGAAGGTGTGATGGACTCGGTGAGGGGAGTATATGGTGAGGTGAGGTTGGTAGCAGCCGGCTGAAACAAAGTGGACTGGGTGAAAAGAGTGGACTGCCGCAGCGGCTCAGAAGAGGAAAGCACGCCGGCTGCCGGCGGGGTGCGAGTATGATGCTCATGCATGGTGACGGTATTAATGCCGGACACGTCATTGATGGATGTGGAAGAAGTTAAAGTGGAATACGGAAAATAATTTTCAAAAAATCGCACATTTCGGTTAATGTAAATCTTGTTAGTAAGAGGATCGAGACAACGATAACCTTTATATTCAGGGGCATATCCTAAAAAGACACATAAAGTGGATCTGGGAGAAAGTTTGTTGGCAGAAGTGCCATTAAAATTAGGAAAGCAAGCACACCCAAATACACGCATAAAAGAGAAGTCTGGAGTATGGTGAAATAATTTTTCAAAAGGAGAAATGCCATTTAAATTTGGAGTAGGAAGCCTATTAATAATAAAAGTGGCGGTAAACACAACATCTACCCAAAACTTAGCTGGCATGTTTGCTTCAAAAAGCATAGTGCGAGTTAATTCAAGGAGATGCCTGTGTTTGCACTCAGCTACACCATTCTGTTCAGGGGTATCCGGGCATGACTTGCGAAATAAAATACCATTTGTGGTAAAAATATCACGCATTCCATGATTATCAAACTCACCCCCTCCATCACTTTGAAAAATTTTAATTTTGGAGTCAAACAAATTTTCCACCATTAATTTAAAGTGCTGAAAATGTGTTAGAACTTCGCTTTTATGGCGCATGGGATAGAGCTAGGGGTGGGCAAACGGGTCTTGGAACCGCGGTCCGGTCCGGGTAATGGCGGTTCGGGTCCAAAACGGACCGGTTCCATTTTTTGTTGCCATAAAACGGTCCGGGTAGGGTCGGGTAATTTTTTTTAAGGAACCGGACCGGTTCCAAAATTAAAAAATAACGGGTACCCGCCCGGCCCGTTATATATATTGTATATTAATTTATTAATAGTTTTGTGATAATCGGTTTTAAAATAGTTTTCTTTCCTTTGCTAGAAGTAGGATTTTAAATTGAGTTGGAGTAACATCCTTTTGTTTTCAAATTATTGATTAAATGTTTCATAAATATCTTATTACTTTTTATTGTTATTGAATTATTCCTTTCTATGGAATTTAATTATTTGTTAAAGATGATTTTGTTATATTTTTTTATTATATTGTTATTAAAATATATAAATTGTGTTTACCACCCACCATGTATGTGTCAACTTTGGCTAATACTGAAAATTTAATATAAAAAAAAGCAATCACTATAATATGTGATGTTAGACAACATGTTTAAATACAAATGTTAGAAAATATGTAAATTGGCTATGTTGCATATTTTTGGAATTTCTTTAATTGTTTGAAACTTATATACAAGAAATTATGGAGTATTATTGGACTTTTCGCTTGTGTTATATGTGCACCACTTTTCGCTAATGTCTTATATTATTGATTATTGATTTTTGGAACTTCATGAGTTTTTACTAATTTCAAGACATGAGAATAGAAACCGTAAAACTCGGACCGGACCGACCCGTTTCAAACGGGCCGGGTAATTTCCGGTTCCTATTTTGAAAATTGTAATACTCGGACCGGACCGAACCGTACAATGGAACCGGCGGTTCCATTTTATTTTGCATTACCCGCCCCGACCCGGCCCGTGCCCAGCCTTAGATAGAGCCAAGTAAATCGAGAAAAATCATCAATAAATAAGACATAATATTTATAGCCACTTGTAGAAAAAACAGGAGATTGCCAAACATCATAATGAACTAAAAATAAAGGAGCAGTAGATTTATGCCACACTTCTTGAAAAGGTAATCGTTGGGACTTTCCTAACTGACAAGAAATACAATCATGAGAAAAACTAGAAATAGTGCCATATTTTTTTAATTTTTCTAAAATACGACTTCCACAATGTCCCAAGCGACGATGCCAGACTTGGCCAGAAGCAGCATGAGAGACGAGAGCCACTGGTGAGGAATGTGTGAGAGAAATAGGATAAACACCACCATTACTGGAAGCTTGGAGGAGCACCTTCCCCGATATTGTGTCCTTAATACAGATAGAATTTTTATCAAAAATCACAAAACAGTTATTATCGGCACATAATCGTTGAATAGAGAGAAGATTGTATTTAAGACTAGGCACATGATAAACAGATTTTAAATGTAGGGGCCGAGGCAGAGTAGATAAGTGCAACCGTAATTTTGAGTGGTCCAGAATAAATAGCTTTATTTTGCAAAATACCTTCATTTGAGGTCATGTGAGCAGAAGCACCTGAGTCAGGATACCAAACAGCTGGAGTGGATTCACCAGTAGAGACAGCCAAGGCAGGAGCCTGAGCTTGAACAAAACGAGAAGGACACGTAACAGCTGAATGACCTAGAGAATGACAGATATGACACACAACAGGTGGAGGAACTGAACCAAAAGTATTCTCAAAAGACGGAGATCCTGCAGAAACATAGTTAGTACAAAAAGTATAGGGAGCCGGAGTATAAAACGATGACTGAACTGAATTACATATAACTGTACCCGGTCCCCACTGATGAAGCTGATTGGCCCCCCGACCAGACGGTGGCTGCTAGAACTGCGGCTGGCCCGGGTTGCCGTACACGGGAGGCTGTCCAGATGCATGTGACTGCTGATTTCTACCTCTGCCGCGCCCTCGTCCGCGACCGCCACGCCGTCCGCCACGCCCTCCGCGACCTGGGTGTTGCTGCTGGTTGCCAGAAGATGAAGAGGGAGCCACACCCCCTGCCGAAGTAGACGCAGCAAACGCCGGTGCCTGAATTGGAGCCTCCAAAGATTGTTGATAGCGGAGACGGGCATCTTGATGAACCAATTTTGTGCCTAAGGAGTCAAACGTGAGTCCTTCAGGAAATAAGGTAAGAGGGCCTACGAGCGACTCATAACCCGGTCCCAACCCTATAAGGGTATGTTCAATAAGATCGGCGTTAGAAACCGGAGAGTTAATGGCGGCTAAATTCTCAGGAATATTTTGAATTCCACGAATGTAGTCTTCCATGGACTGATTTTCCTTCTTCCGAGTACGTGTAAGCATTTGTTTCAACTCCATGGAGCATGCAAGACTGGCAGCCATAAATCGGGACTCTAAACGTTGCCAAATTGCCAAAGAAGTTTTCAAGGAATGCACTTCCATCAAAATATCGCGAGAGAGAGTTGCAAACATCCACGCACGTACGGCCTGATCTAATTTGAGCCAATGATAATACTCAGGATTCGGGGACTGAGCCTGATATAAATCATATGTGTACATTGGCGGAGCGGGTAGAGATCCATCAAGGAAGCCCAAAAGACCGTTAGCTACCACGAAGGATTCAAACTGAGTGCGCCATGGCAAATAATCTTCAACAGCCACTAATTTAGAGGTAACAATTTGGGTAACTGATGCCCCAAACGTCATGCCTTGAGCAAGCGAGGCAAAAGACGAGGGCATAGGAGTGGACTGTTGGCCAATAATTACGGCCGTAGACAGATGTAAATCGGGACTGCCCACCAATGTGGGCCCTGTGAACCGAGGACCGCCGGAATTGCTAGAGACGTCATGAGGGACGTCCGGTTGCTGCAATCGTTGTGGCTGGATGATCGGACTGACGGTTGGCGCTGACGGAGTCCAGGTGAAAACAGAGGGGACCCACGGTGCTGCCTAAACCGTAGAGGAAAACATCGAGTAGGGCTGTGAGCGAAGCGGGTCACCGGTGGAGGAGAACGCCGCTGTCTGCGAGGTGCCGGAGAGGTTCGATGTTTCGGTCGCGCTCAACATAGGCACAGTCACGGCCGATTCTACGGCGGCGTTGACTGCCTGGGATGCGGCGGCGGTGGAGCCTTCAGAAGCCATGGAAACGAAAAAAAAATAATTTTGGCTAAAACCTAAAGCTCTTGATACCATGTGAGAATAATGGAATGGCTTACCCAATTGGGAGCCCTAGATGTCATATATATAATGAATAGAGTTCTGAGTACATTAGGAAACATAAGAAATATGGAAACCTAATTAATGAATATTAGTTACTCTATTACCTAAGTCTTCATAATACACTAGGAAAAACTAGGGGGGGGAAAACGCCGTCATAGTTTCATAAGTTAAGTCTTTCTCTCTAGGGCTTCCTAGCCGCTAGAGCCTTTTTCTCCGGCGGCGATCAATTCCGATCGTGGGTTCCGGCCGTTTTTGTTCGACCTGTGTGTTTCTGTTTTGGCTTACGTCGTCAGGATTAGCGCTCGGTTGCTGTCAAACGTTGGTCTGCTACGGCGTTTCCGTTCGTTTTGTAAGGTGTTAGAGACAGATTCTTAATTTATTTTTGGAAACACGTTTCTTAATTTATTTTAGGAAACACATCCTAGTTGCCTTGGGGTTAGGATTTACTTCTCTATAAATACAAGCTCTCTCCCTTGTAATCATAGCGTGTGGATCCGAAAATAGCAATAATATTCCTGGCTTGGTAGCGCTCCTAGACGTAGTCATTCGTGGCGAACTGGGTTACCAAATTTCGTGTGT